AAACTAAGGTAGTAGGAGCTAAATATAAAAGGTTACTACGCTATATAAGCGGAGCGGTCGGCTATAGCGGATATATCGTCGCGGCTTAACGACGTCGCGCGCTTTATAGATACCTTTAATAAGGAGGCTAACTTCTACGCCGGCGCGACGTAGATCTATATATATAGCGCGACCTATATAAAATACTTACTTAGCGTAAGGGCGCGGAAGGTAGACCTTTACTAGTTTAAGGCGCTATAGAGGCTAGTAAAGAAGATAGCGCTAATAGCGGATAAGGTACTCGAGATCTAGTAGACGTATAGTATAATAAACTAATAGAACTAAGCGATAGTAATAGGGCTATAGTATAAATATAATATCTCGTTTATTACGATATAGCGTAAGACTATAGCCTTAATCTACTATATTACTAACTATATAATAAAGGTAAAAGACTTTATATAGAAGCGTATAGCCGCTACGGCTAAGTTCCTTCTTATACTAGAGCTAACGAGAGAAGGTAACGGAAGTAGCGCTAACTATAACGCCGACCGCGACGCCGGCTAAGAGAGTAGGGCTAAAGGGGTAGCAATAGCGGCGGACCCTATAAGAGGGAATAAAATAAGAACGTTCCTACTTAAGGTAGCGAACTAAGTATTTATAGAGCGGCCGCTATTATAGGTCGAGGTAATTACGTACCTCCTAAGGTACCTAGTAGAATTTAGCAGCGGCTTAGTATAAGTATACGTAAACGCGAACTAGCTTTACTAAGCTATTTTCCGCTAGTAGCGGTACCTTTAATAGGTAAGTAGCGCGGAGGTAATAGGCAATATACTAAATAAGACGGTCGTTATTAAGGAGGCCGGCCTAAGGATCCCTATTATTACAGCCTACTAATATAAGGGCGAGCTCTTATAGGGCTTCTACCTTTATAACTATATATCGCTTATAAGGCTAAAGTAAAATAGCTATAGCGCCGATAGTAAGACGGGCTAAGGCAAGGTACCCTTTATAGAGAGCTAAGTATTAAGGAAGGGCTAAGTATAAGCGCTTAAGCGGCCGGGTAGTAGGGCGACTATATACCTCGATAGATACCTTAGTAAGGAGTTTAGTAAGGAAGATAATAAGTTATACTACTAAAGGTATATATTATAAGATAGGAAGCGCCTAAAGGGAAGGTAGCGCGGCTAAGGGTATCGGCTAATAGCGCTTAGGGCAGCGGTATAGTACCTAGCCCTATTTATACTATAAGAGTCCTTCCTTAGTACGGAGGTAAGCGATATTAATAATATCTAAGCGCGGGTATAGGAGTCGCTAGCGCTAAGGGTCGCGTAGCTTATAAATAATATATAGCTTTTTTAGCGGTTAGCGGAGGATATAAAGCGCGACGCTAAGTAGTAGGCTACTATAGCTAAGAAGGGCGGTATAACGGCGCTATAGGCTAGCGATAAAGGTAGGAGGGCGGCTAAGGGGGGCGAGGAGGTATACCGTGCTAGCGGGGTAGGTAACGCGGCCCGGCTTATCGATATCGTCTAAAATACCGCTAGCGTAGGATAAGTTATAGCGTAGTTAATAGAGCTACTAGCGATAATTATAAGAATATACCCTTATATTCCTATTTTACTATTATAAAAAAATAATAGGTATAGGGAGGCTCTATAAAATAAGCTAGTAAAAAGAGGCCCTATAATATAGTCTAAGGGAATAACCCTTAAAGATAAAGACCTTTACTAGATATCTATACCTTCTTTTAGGAAAGGCGGGTTAAGATAAGCCTATGCTAATAAAATAAAATATATATAAAATATATAAGTTAATTACGAGCAGAACGGATACTATATTGCCTATTTTAGCTTAGCGGTTCTAAAGATATCCGCGATACGAGAATAGGTAGGGCATAGAATATTCTAGTTAAATCTACTACTTATACTAGAACCTATAGTCTTATATTAACTATTACGTTATAATTAGACTACCTACTAAGTTAGGAAGACATACTATAGATAGAGCTTTTTAAGTACTATAGAATATACTAGAAAGCTAACTAATTAGTCTACTAGTAAGCGAGCAATAGTCTATAAAAGATAAAGGATTTCCCTAGGAGTAGTAGATAAAATAAGAAAGTTTATAAGTATCCTTTATAACGCTATTCTTTTAATATATTATTTAGCCCCTTATATACTCGTTATAAATTCCGGACGAAATCCTACCCTATACTCCTTCGACCGATCTTTCTACTTATATTATTAATTCCTTAATTCTACGCTTATTACTTATACCTTCTTATAATAATATAGTAGCTCTACTAGGTTTAGTAGTTAGCGCTAAGGTTAGCGGCCGAGCTCGCGGCGACGGTAGTAATAGAGGAGAGGGTAGGTAAGCGGGTAAACCTACCGGGCTTAGAGCTCTTAAAGGCGGCGCTACTAAGGTAAGAAGAGGTATAAGCTATTAAGTTATAGTAGAAGAGCGCGGCGCGGGAGTAGGAGCGAGCTATCTAAGGTATCTAGGGTAGCGGGGCGGCGGCGGGCGTTAGGGCCGACCGCGGCGCGGCTCTTTATAGGGTAATAAGGGGCTTCGGCGAGGACGATATAGACGTAACGGCGGCCGACGGCGACGTAGACGCTAGTACGGCGGCAGGGATACGCGTATAGCTCGGCCTATCGAGCTCGTTTATCGCTGCTAATAAGGAGCTAGTAGGGCAGCTAACGCTTAACGAGAAGTAAGCTATCACTCTCTTAATTATATACTAGTAGCTCGACCGAATCTAGTAGCTCGACTAAATCTAGTAAGGTAATAACGTAGGCGGCGATAGCGGCGGCTAGCTCTACTTATTTATCGGCGGCGAGGGCGGTACTAGTAAGTCGCGCGTTATCGAGGCGCTCGTTAAGCTACTCGCCTAGAGGGACCTATTAAGCTAGCTACTAGTAATAGCGACGTTAGGTATAGCAGTAGTATAGATTAATAGTATTATACTATACTCGGCTTATAGCCTTATAGTCGGCTAAGGCGGCTAGGTAGAAGGGGTAATAAGAGATATAGATAGCGTATAGCTACTAAGCTAAGGTAAGCGCTTTATTAATAGCTAGTTATAGATAAACTAATAAGAAAAAGAGGTATTAATAATTAATAAGGTTAGTATACTTAGGGCGCGGACGCTATATACCGCTAATAAGTAGCTATATAGGCTATAAAGGTCGGTATAAGACTTTAGTAGTATCTTAGTAGTAATCTTTTATAGCGACTTTTATTAGTTTTAGCTAGTATAAGAGCGGTCGATCTTACTACTAAGCGCGGCGGTAGCGTAGGATAAGGATAAGGCGTTCGCTGCTAAGTAGCGGCGGTAGTATAATAAACCGTATACGCTATAGCGGCGGTTTACGATAGTTATTATATTAAACGAGTAGATATAGGCCGCCGGCGACCTAGAGCTATAGCGGCTACTTAGGTATATCCGCTAAGGGGAGTAGGACCGGTTAGACCTAAAGCTACTTAACTTAAGGTACTACTAGCTAAGTAGGCGGATCCTATAAGAGATAGGCCTAATAGTAGTTATACCTCTTAACTATAACTACTAGAACCTTAACCTAAAAGCAGCGCTCGCGTTCTAAGCGCGGCGGTAGACGGCGGTATATATATTCCTATCTAAGTATAAGTAAAGGGAGGGCCTACCGATAAAGAAAGAGGCGGTATTAATACTATACTAGGGCGATAATAGCGCGATACTAGTATTAGCCGTCTTTATTTTTATATTAAGTATACTAGTCTTTATAAACTAAAATATATACTAAGGGCTAAAGCTAGTAAACGGGGCTAGCTATATAGTAGTAAACGTTATCCTTAACTAGGCCTTCCCTAGCTACTAGGTCTCGGCCGAGCTAACGATATACTTTAGGCCGACGGCGGGTATTATACTAGCTTTAGAGATAACGAGGGACTTTTACTTTATCGGGATACTAGCTAAGACGATCCTACTAACGCGTATTAGCGTTAAGATTACGGTATAGCGGAAGCGGCCGTAGTAGCGTAATAATATTAGCTAGAGGGGCCTACTATACGCGGCGGCTTTCGCTTATACCGACTATAAGGTATAGGGCGGGACGCTAGAGCGCGTAGCGCTAGAGCTATAGGGGGCGAGGATAACGACGGTCGAGGGAAGGGCGGTACTATCGCTATGCGACCTATATAGCCTATACGTATAGCTATCGTGGTGCCCGCCGCTTAATAGTATTATACTCGTATCGGAGGTACGGGAACGGGATCTAGTCGGGAACCGGGTACCTATAGAGATAACGGTAGCATAGGCCTAGCTAGAGGAGCTTAGTAGGCAGACGACGTAGGAGGCGGCCGACTAGCTCCGCGGGTAACGCGGGCGGCGTAGGCGTCTCGCTTATAGCGGAGGAGATCCTGCCCTTAGGACGACTACCCTAGTATATAATTAAGGGGCGGAGAAAGTAAAAGTATAGGAAGGTATAATATAGATAGATAGAAATAAGAGTAATAATCTTAAGGTAGTTAATAGATATTAACGGGTGCGTGTCTAATATTAACGGACCGTAAAGGCAGAGATTTAGACTTTATAGGCTAGCCGGCTCTAGGCTAGCGGGCTTGCCGTAGCTACCGACGTAAAAAGAGCATAGGTTAAGGGCTAGGAGGGGGGCAAAGAGGAAAAGGGCGTATTCTAGGGCGAGCTTAAAAGAAAGGGCTAGGAAAGAAGACGGGCTTTAAGGAAAGAGGGCAAAAAGGGGCGGCGACGAGGGCGATAAGGTTATATTTTAAAACCAATCTACAGAGAGCAAGCCGACGAATTAAAAGACGGCAGCCGACGAATTAGAGGGCGGCATTTAGGGGGAGGGAAATTAATAGCGGCGTTTTTTTTTCTTTCTCCCCGGGGAGGAACCAGAAGAACCTTTTCGTCACTAACGTTCCTCAAGGCACTAACGTTCCTCAAGGCATGGCGGGTTTTTTTTCTTTCCTTTCTCCCCGGGGAGGAACCAGAAGAACCTTTTCGTCACTAACGTTCCTCAAGGCAAGGCAAATCCTTTCGTCACTCGTTCCTCGTTCCTCAAGGCACTAACGTTCCTCAAGGCATTCAACTTGATTCCCGTCTGAATGATGGACAGGCCGCCCTCGCCCGCTGGCGCGAGCGCGCTGCTGCCCGTGCCGAGGTCAGTGGGCTCTCGAGGCCCGTCCGAGCTGAGGACATCCCAGCCCTCTGCCCTCCTCTCCCGCTGCCGGGCAGACGCTCATCTTCGGCCGTCGCACAGTCCACCCGCTCGTTGCCCTTCTTCTACCGGCCCTCCCTCTTACCCTCTCGTCACTGAACTTCTTTCCCCCCTCCCGCTGTCGCGAAGCGGACTTCATGTTCAATTGAACATGTCACCTGAACAACAGGTGGCTCGATTTTTCGTGACACCCGCCCCCGCGCTGATGTCCGCGGCATATCGAGGCATGAAGCATTCCGTTTCCTAGTAAGCGACGACTGACGCATACCTTGACCTGCTTGCTTGCTCGCTTGCCTCTCGTCCATCTTACTTGCTTCACCCTGGTGCCCCCTCGCCTCATCAGACAACCCCATTCATGACCATTGATCACACCGCCTCCCCCGTGGCATGGGCCGCCCGGCTGTTCAGCTACCGGTATGGGCCATTTCAGCTTCGTCACCAGGAGACACGCCGACGACCGATCCGCCTCGCAGGCCTATCTATCCCAGCTTAAATAGCTGTCAGGAGGGACCCCGATATCTGCATACACAGGAACCAAGTATCCTCCTTCCAAACAAGGTCCGCTCGATGCGACACGACGTTATCTAGTGCGTGGAAGCCCGTCGGGTTCGGGCCAAATCGACGTCGAGGCCGGGCACGAGTAACAGGTCCATGCTTGTGGGCCCGCCGAATCATATGGATGAACTGTTCATATTTCCGAGCGTGGATCCACACTTGCCGTAACTTTTGGCGAATTCGCCGTATAACACTGGACCCAACTCTTCCCCAGCTACTGAAAGCTTCGCGAACTGAGTCAGTGGAATGGCTGGCGGCAAACTTAGGAAAATAGAGTCGGCAATTTTTCTCTGGTTGGAACCAGGCTAGAGTTGCCAGCCGTATCAGCATGCCGTCGGCAATTAGACTCGTTTAGTAATGGTGAGAACTTACTGGTAACTAGATTTGACAGGTTTATCAGCAGTGTCACTGGCAGTCAGACTCGTCGGTCATGGGTAACTTACAAACTTATTGTACTCAGTCATGAAATCTGCAGCAGCTTTCGCCAGCTGTCCAGGCAGCTTCTGAAATGCTGCTGCGATGTCGGTTGGGGCTTTTTTGAGGTCGTCAAAACCCCCTTCCAAAGAAGCCGGAATTTCACCTACCGCTTTTGCGAGGTCGCCAAGAGACCTCGCAAAGCGTCATCTTCCGGGTTTGCGACGTCATGTACACCGCTTACCACCGCCCCGGAACGCTTAACCCTTTCCGAGGTCTCGAACAGACTTCTCAAAGCCTCGAGATTTTCCGCATTTGTGAGGTCGTGTATAGCGCTTTTCACCGCCTCTGGAATTCCCCCTAGCTCTTTTAGCAAGTCGGCACCAGACTTCTTAAAAGCCACCCAGTTTTCCTCGCTAAATAGCTTCATGAAAGTCGGCCCGATTGAGAGTAGAGTTTCAGGGATTTTTTTGATTCTCTCCCAAAGGGTAAGGTCCTGCGGCGGCGCCACTGGATGCACCTGCTCTTGCTGGTTCCGCTCAAAGCCGATTAGCATACCGCCGATGTTAAATTTGTCATTAGTCACGGTTAGAAACTTGCCATTTTTTCATGTGCTTCACAAGTAACAATTGCCGTAAGAAGGCCGAACGTAAAGCCAGGAATAAAACCAAAAGTCTTCAGAGCTTTTTGCGGACGGTTCTTGACCAGTTCGGAATCTGGCTCGGGACCGGGCTTTCCGGTATTCCCCTGTTGGTTTATATCGGGCTGCGGCTGCGGTTTGTTGTTGGCTGGGGGTTTGTTGTCGGCCGGGGGTCCCGTTGTCTTTTCGCCGTTGTTCTTGTTGGCCTCTTGGTTATTGTTGGCCGGTTCTGCACCATTTCTGCATCCATTGCTGCGCTTGCACAGCGGCTCCCCATTCTCATTTGGACCCGACGACCCATCTTTGCCTGCATCTGGTTCGGGCAGCGGCTGAGAAACGAGAGGCTGGAAGTCTTTGTTGCAGCTTGTGCCTCCACATACCTTGTTCCAATAGAAATTGCCCAGATTATCTAACACTTTCTGGTCCTTGTATTGGTTCCACGGCTTTTCCTTCCATGCGTCAGAGGTCTCAGGAAACCCGGCGATCTGAGGCTGTGCTCCGCTTCCTTTCTGATTGCGATACTTTTCTTCGTTAAACTTGGGGTTCTTAATGAATTCTACACGCCCCGGAGACTCTCCTCGCTTAATCGTTTCGAGTACGTCTGTGTCTTTGATCCCCTTCAATTCGTACCAGCCTTCGATTTGGTCGAATGGGATGCCCCCTATGAATGCATTCTCTGTTTGGCCTTTGTAGGGGCTGTACCGCCCAAGGGACGCATCCACGTCGATGGCTTTTGTATCGGCGTGTATGCGATAGAGGTATCCGTTTGACTCGCCGTTTTGATCCCCACCGCGACCGAACCGCAGCCCCAGGGCCGGATCTGAAGCCGTCGACACATATTGCGAGTTTGCTATTCTGTTGCCCTTGGCATGCTCATACAAGCTGCTGCCACTCCCAATTTCTTCTTTCGTAAGGGTTTCACCTCTTCGCTGTTTTTCAAGGCCTCGAGAGAACATGCCGCCAGCGGCTTCAACCTCCTGAGGAGTCCGAAACTTTTCACCACGCCAGACGGTCGTTGGTTGTTCGGGATCAGGTGCCGGTTTGCTTACTGCCACGCCACGTTTGCCCATGCTGTGAATGACCTCAGCCGAGGGCAGGCTTTGGCCAAAGCCCAGGACCAGCACAAGGAGAGCCCATAATGTCGGCAGCCAGAGGCCCTTCATGGTAGGATGACGCTTTGATGTTGTCTTGGGAGTTCAGGGGACAGTCATGGGCTTATTCCCGACTGTCGAGATTCGGGTGTTGAGTCGATCGGGCTCTGAACTCCGGTTATACGTGGTTTTGAGTCTTTAATATACCGAGAAACATAAATGGATTGAGGGAAATGTGACGATACGAATAGCAAGCGGCCGCAGAGTTCATTGAAGATCTAGGCGATATGTTGCGGGGGACGACGTGGAATTCATAGGTCGAAAGCCGGTACAATGACGGGGAAAGTTCCTGTATAAAATCTGACCAAACTGGTCCTGCTAGAACTCCCAGAAAAAAAAATCTAGCGTCATTCAATCTAATGCGGCCGAAGTTAGTCCTGCCTAGATGCATTGCACTTAGTCAGGCCTCAGCGAGGTTGAGGAGATGAAATATTACCGTCACTTAAAACGGTGGTATGTTTGAAGTACCGGTAAACCGATGGCTTGGTACTGTAATAGGGACCGCTTAACAATCCACCGCTTTTCAAGTACTTACTACCACTTTAAAGTGGGGGCGGGCACGAGTAGTCATTTAATGCTAACTACTCTGTCGAGTACTTTTGCCGGCTCAGGTAATCGGGGAAGCTGGTGCGAGTCGACATGATGTGTTGCCCAAGTGGGACTCGTGGGGAGGAGCTCGATCAGCTCCAGGGCCAGAGCCTCATGTTTAGCATGGGCTGGTCGATCGGGGATGACAGAGTGGCGGGCGAGGATCCGTCCGTACAGTGCGAGTTCTGGTTGACTCACCACGGCCACGAGTCGGCGTTCATGATTTGCGAATCTAGAACGGCCGACAGTGGGTCAAGATAAAGGCGGGATTTGAGTTAGGATGGCTAGTCTGCATGTTAACGGGTGAGTTGGGATGATAAACATGAATATTGAGGGGGCGGTAGTCATGTCCGATCTTCTAATTGCAGAAACGCGGCGGGTGTTTCAGTTGAGCGGATCATCTGCAAGTGCATAGACGACTAGGACAAGGTCAGGTTTGAGCCTCGTCCGACTTTTCGACAGAAGCAGAGTATGTTGGGATGGGGGAGGCTATAAAAGCTGCCCTCTAGGGACGTCGACTACTTGCAGAACTAGAAGGAAAGGGGGAGCAAATAGTGCCACTACTACTTAGAGATAATAAGGGAGCTATATAGCTAACCTAAGGAGTATCGAATACGTCGAAAATTACGTATATTAATATAGTATTTTATTACGTCGTTAATAAGGTTAAGGAAGGGAGAATCTAAGTCTACTAGGTTCTAAGGGAGAATATACTAGTAGATAGGATAACTAAGCCTCTGCCTAGGGAGGCTTTTAAGAGGAATAGGAGGAGGATTAGAATTAGACCTATACGCTATAAATAGCGTTGCTATTATATTAGTTAAAGTCTAATAGCTTTAAGGGAGTATTAAGATATAGACTAAGATATATTTAGGCAGCACCTATAAGTAGTAAGTTACTAGATAGTAGCACGGACGTGCCGCTATATATATATATATATTAAGAGCTATTAGATAGAATAGAATAAAAGTAAGTTTAATCGCAATAGTTATAGGTAATAATATATAGGTAGGTACGTATAATAAGAAGGATAGGGAAAAGCCTATAGCTCGGGATCGGATTCTACTTATCCGATCTATTATATCGGCTCTTCTACCTATCCCTTCTTACCTTCGCCTTGCTTTTCTTAACACGTTATACTGCATAACACGTTAGCGCGCGCTCCTAAGGCCTCTACGTTTCGCCCCTAACCGGCCGTCACGCAATGTAAGCTACTGCGGGACGGAATTGCCGGTTACCTAGTGCCGCAACTACTATAAAAACCTTTAAATGCCTTAAGGAACGTTAGTGCCTTAAGGAACGTTAGTAATGAAAAGGTTCTTTTAGTGCCTTAAGGAACGTTAGTAATAAAAGGGTTCTTTTAGTTCCCCCCGAGGGAAAAAGGAAAGAAAAAAACCCCGCTATGCCTTAAGGAACGTTAGTGCCTTAAGGAACGAGGAATAGGTAAGGCAACCCCTTATAGGTTACGTAAAAAGCCTTAAGGAACGAAGACTAAGGTTAAGATAAATAAGACGAAGATAGAGGGCGAGAGTAAAGAACGTAAGTAAGCGGTAGCGCTAGGAACTAATATATATAAGAAGGTAGGTAAATAAATCGGCTATTTAGGTACCATCTTATAGCGGGAAGAGGGAGAAAAAGTAAGAAGGCAATTATAGCGATAATAACGGTTATAGGGTAAGAGAGAGGAAGGGAGTATAAGAAAGGCACTAAGGTATAAATAGGAGAGTAGAAGCGTCTACCTTAGCTACTAATCGAGTAGTTAGGAAAATAACTATAGTATAGCTACTTATAACGTTTCTATAAAGTTCTAGTATAAATTTAGGGCTATAGAGCTTAAGTATAAGTATAGTATCTTAAAGACGCTCGTAACATAGGTAGGCTAAGCGAGGCTAAATAACGAAGCTAGCGTACTATTCCTATAGTAGATAAGGCCGATCTTATAGGAGTATAAAGCGGTATATTAAAAGGTAGTAAGGGCGCGCTATAAGAGTTATAGCGAAGTTATAAAGGATATTTTATAGAGCCCGATATTATACCTATATATAAAGAGGCTGTTTATACTTATAGTTATATCGTTATTTTATAGCTAAGTATTATAGGCTATGCCTATAAAAGGCTAAGGTTATACTATAGCGACTATACTAAAGTTAGGCTAAAGTAGACCTATATATAGGTAGAGCTCGACTTAAACTTAGGCCGAATAGTACTTAAATATAGGTCGAGCTAAGGACTAAGGAAGATAGATAACCGTTATAACTAAGATAGAGTTTTCCTTCTTTCTTCTTAGCTTTAAATAAATAATTATTCGGCCCTATACTACTATACTAAGTATATATTAGCCCTTAATACTAAGAAAGATATAAAATAAAGGTAAGGTAGGAAATATAAGATATAATAGTAAAGGTAGGGTAAGTAGATAGAAGTATAAGTATAAAGTAAATATAAGGGTAGGATATATATAGTATAAAAAGGAAGGTCTACTAAGGTTATAGAGAGATAGCGGGGGCGAGGAGGTATAGCTAATACTTAGTAATCGCGTATTATAGTAGGTAATACTAAAAGGAGGACTAAAAGGTATATAAGAAGGGATATAAGCTAAAGGTAAGCTAGGGAGCTAGTAAGGGGAAGTAAGTAACGTTATTAGGGCGGCCTTAAGGCTAGCCTTATATACTATAACGGCCTTTATAAAACTAACCGCTAACTTCGGCGACCCTTATCTTTATAACTTATATAACTAAGGAACGGAATATAAGATAATAAAGACGCCTTTTTATAAAGCGTAATTATAGGCCCCTTATTACCGCTAAATATAACTAAGAGGTATAGCGGTAAGCTAGTAAGGAGAGAGAAGGGAATAAGAAGGAAGGGAAAGAGAAAGGATAAGGCGTAATATATAAGATATTAACGAGGTTATAGAGAACGTCTAAAGGTAGGTAGTATTATAAGAAATAGGTTCGTAAGCTAAAACTATCCTTTAATAAAGGGAGAAACATAGTAATATATAAAGTAATAGTAATTTTATAGCGATAAGCTACGTTAAGAATAATATCTTATTCTATTTTAATAAAGGTAGGAGGTATAAGAGAGCGATTAGTTTATAGTAGGTAGCTTATTTCTATATATAATAGCGGAGAGAGTAAGCGGGCGGGTTAAAGGTACTCGCGATAATAAAGTTAAGAAGGGAAGCTAAGGGGGCCGGAGCAGGAGTAGGTAAGATACTATTTAGTTAAGATAAAAAAGCAGCTAGCGGGGGATAAGAGGAGGGGGCAGCGGGGCTAATAGTATCCGAAGATAAAGAAGGCGGCGAATACTACTACTATAGTAAGCGCGCCCTCTTTATAAGTATATCGGTAAGGGCTAGGTAAGAGCGCTTAAGCGGTAGCGTAATAGGGTTAAGGGCGGTCGGGGCTAAGGCCGAGGAAAGGGGGGCCGATATAGCTAAGGCTAGCGCGGTAACGGAGTATAAGGCGGCGTAGATAGAATCGAAAGTAAAGGAGGCGGATAGGGTCTAGCGCTTAAGGGGTATAGCGAGGGGGGAAGTTAAGGCGGCGGTAGTAGCTAAGGGCCTATTAATAAAGGTCTAGCTATCTAAGATAATAATAAAGATATAATCGCGCTCTAAGCTTAAGGGGGAGAGTATAATATAGTAGTTAGGAAAGCTAACGACCTTTTTAGTATAAGTAAAGGGGACGCTAAATAGGAAGGAAGAGTTAAACTTTTTAACGATTTTCTTATATAGTATAGCCTAAGGGCTAACGTAAATAAGAAAGATAATAAAGACCTTAAATAGGTAGTAGCCCTTAAATAGAATCCTATTTAGTAGGCTAGGGGTAATATAAGTTATAAGCTAGATAAAGATATAGTAGTAGAGCTAGTTCGGCCTAAGACTAAGTAGGAAGTCTTAATATAAGAGGTCGAGGCTAGGCCTAGCTATAACGCTATAAAAGGAGATAATAAGAGGCGTAAATAAGAACTAGCCGCTAAAGGCTAAGGAGCGCGGTAGGATACTAAGGGGTAAAGTTAGTAGGGTAGTAAGTAAGGAGGCGTATTAAAATAAAAAAGGGAGAGGGGCGTATAGCTAGTAACCTTAGTCGTAGATAATAAGGGTAAGTATAGTATAGAGAATAATATTATCCGGGCCGGCCTTAAGCTTATCGCGGCGCTCTACCTCCTAAGAAAGGGTATAAAGGTAAACGCGGCCGCTTATAAAGAACTACTACTTAAACTAGTTTATATCGACGACTAACTAGCTATAGATAAAGAGGTTTAGGCTAAAAAAAAGAGAGGGTCCTAGATCGTCGCCCTTAGCTTAAAGGGTTATATACTTTAACTTTAGTAGCTATAAGGGTACTAGTAAAAGGACTTAAGCGATAGCTTTAGTATTAAGGCCTTTAATATAGTACTTATCTTAGTAGGTAAACCTT